CAGAGGACTCAGGATGGAGAGCATCATTGCCTCTCCCTTCTCAATGACCAAATATTAATCACAAAACCACACTTAGCTGCAAGGGAGGCTGGGGGTGAAGGCCCTGTCTGGACAGCCTGTACCCTAAAAACATTAGCTGTTGAAGAAACCAGATGTCCTAGCACAGCTTGCTACGGAAGATGATCGTGTGCCAGAGTCCTTTCATTTTTTAATGTCTGGAGAAAGCATTAGTCTGTTTTGCAGTGTTTGATTCCCTCACATTCCTTGGATCATTGCCATGTGGTCATACTCTGTACTGTACACTTGGATTCTACTTGTGGAAGCTTGATTTAGGATTTTCACATCTGTGTTTTGTTTTAAAATATTTTTAAGGTACAACGTGGTGATACTTTACATTTATGTGCTACTTCTCAGTTTTAAGTATCATTTCACTTACATTTTCCTTACTTGAGAGCAGATGATAATCAGGTGCTGACTGCAAAAAATAAACAGCAGATATTAAGTTTATAAATAGAAATGATCCACAAATGAAACGCTGTAGTCTCTGCTTATTATTTTCTAAATTCTAAGGGTTCTCAGTGAGACTGAAGTACTGATTAGGGAGGAGAGAGGATGTGGAAAATTGCAAAAGAATTTTTGACCACATGAAGCCAGAAACAAATGTTTCCACCCTCCAGTAGGCCCGGGAGGGTGGGGAGGAGGAGGCTACCTAAATGCCAGCCCTCCGCCGGCAATGCATAGGGTTTCAAAACAACCTGGTTTTGAATTCACGAGGATTTCCTGGTACTAAGCGTTCTTTGGCTTTCTGGACTTTTGTTTTGACTCCTTATCTGCACATCCTCACTGAGGGCGACCATGGAACATGGGAACCGGGAGCACACGAGCACGGGGCACCCCGCTGTCTGTCCCGCTGTCTGTTTGGAAGGTTGTGTGCCCTGAGCACCAGTTTCTCCCAGGGCTGAAGAGCTTTTCCAGATGCACAGTCCTTGCATAACAGCCCTCCCCATAAACATCAAGTGTCTTTGGGAGGAAAATAGATAGTAAGCTGACATAATTGTGCAAAAGGTAGCTCTCAATATTAGAGTAGACATCACAAGAAACAGAAGCACCCAACTAACAGGGCTGCTCTGTAAATCCTACAGAACGTGCCGTGTGCTGACTTCTCTCACCTACAGAACGTGCC